TTATTAATATAATTATTAATGTGCATAGTACTCTGTATACAATGTATTTAGTATACTGCCCACATGGATCTCTGCCTTTCCAGATGCTGCATGCAAATCTGGCAAATGTCTGTCCCAAGACACAAACTTAAGATGAGAAACACACTCAGGAGTAGTAATGAGGATACAGAAGAACTGTGCCCCAGAACTAGTGGGTCTGAAATGACTTTGACTTTTTTTATTGCTGAGTAATTAAAGGGGTAAAAAGAATGCTAGCAGTAGAGACAAAGAACAGCTGATTTGGAGGGACCGCAGTAAAGTGCAGCAATGTACCTAGCACTAAGTTCCTGTCCATGATGGGGGTTGGGAGAGGCTGTTTGTTTTGATTGTAGGTTGCACCCAGATTTCAACATAAAAAAGAAAAAAAAAAAATACATCTTAATATTCTTGTGTTAGTTTTGCAGCAATTCATTACACCTAGAGTCCCCCCTTTAACTGCATCTTACAAGGTCATCTAAGATACAGGGTTTAAAACACTACCACTCCGACTTAGGAGCTTTATATGCCAAATTGCAGAGAATCCAGAGCTGCAGACAATAACTTCCCAAATGAAGCCACATGAGCAACTGCTAGGGTAGCAATTTTTCTTTTCAGGCTACAGTTGTTCTTTGAATTTCAAATTTAAATTGTTGTAAAGAAGTAATACAAGTTATCTACAATCACATAGAGTTAGTTGTGTTTCTGATGTTCCTCTGGAAATTGAAGGAGAATGGTTCCTCCACAAATGACTGTCATGTAAAATCTTCTTACCTTAGTTCCCGAAGTAGGTACGAGTCCCACAGCTGCCATATATGTACTTCCAATTGTCTTGATCTTTTCTATGTCCTTATAATATTCTTTGTCCATAAGCTTTGTTTAAAACATAAAACTGTTAAATATTACATAATATTTTAGACAAGCAACCATAGTTATCAGATAATATGTGCAATTGATTAAACTATATTATTTTTGGTAAGTTGAGGCTTGCCTGCTTTGAGGGCATTGAAAAAACTACCGTTAACTCAGATTTTAATACTCTTTCTATATTAGAGGAATTTGAGGTCAGACTCATGTGCCTAAAAGTACAAACTGGGCACTTTGGAGAAGCCCAGTGAACACCAACCTTCAATAGGAAGCTTCCAGTACTGTTTTATTAGGCAGCTCAAGATACGCTGAGTTGCTACAGATAATCTCTGTTGATAGTAATTTGGTAGAACTGATATGGTCAAAAGACAAAGTGTTTAGACCTTACCTCATCAAAATCAGCAATAATTTCATTTAATAGGCGTAAACATTCCACTCCCATATTATTGCCGTCCAATTCGATGTAGAAATCATTGAAATTTGGGATGGAAGCAAACATCACTCCCACTTGTGAATATGACTGGTAATAAAGGTCCTGCAGTTCATGAGCAGATATAATTTTTATTTTAAAAGATTAATCTAAACCAGGCATCATTATTATATCTATTCTACTGCTAAGCAAAACCTAAGACAAAAGCCATCATTTTTGGTAGAGAGAAAGCCAGCCTTATTAAAAAACTTTGAAAGATCTCTCCACTCAAAAACAGAAAAGAAAATTAACACCTAACCTATTAAACCTATTTAAAACAACTTAGTCTTTTTCTCTGTTTTATAACTAAAATAGGAGACGGAACAATTTTACCCTGCAGCACAAAACCAGCCTCTCTCCTTCATGTCTTCCCCTGAGTTGCAGAGTCCTGTGTTTAACATTAACAAAGTAATGCTGTTCTGTATGATAAGGTTTCTGCTTAAGAATTAAGAGGGCTCACGGAAAGTAAAACCACTCTTCTGTGGCTCAAATACATTGATCCAAACTCTCAAGAGCAGTATCATGGCCATTACGGCTACTCCAGTGCTGCAGGTATTGCAGCTGCACCGGAAGGACTTGGTAAGGGCTTGCTAAAGCACTTTATTTAATCACTGCAGCCTTTGATGTTAAAAGCTACTGTGTCTTCCTTGGGTGTGTACAATTCTCTGTTTTTAACTCTAAATGGATGGGTTTGTAATGGCAGTGAATTTCCAGAACTACAGTGGTTCATATGGAAGTTTCTGGCAGTTCATACACTTCACCATTCAGAATCAAACTGAACTTATGAAATACTGTGATAAATCCCAATATTCTAAATTGATTGAAAAAAAAAATCAGTGACTTGCATGCAGACACTTCGCTGCATTGATGTTGAATGACACAACATTCCTTTATCCTGCTTTTTATTAAAATTCTTCAGAGAAGGAGGACACTACAGCGAAAGAAATAATCCCAATCTAATTCTTGAACACAAGTTTTAACAAAACTATTCCTTTTAACATGAATTAAATTTTATAAGTCCAAGCCTTTCTTGAAAACATACAGTTGAAAGGTGACCCAAGCTACACAGGGTCACACCCATACAACATCACCATGTATATAAATTTTATCTTGGTTTACCATATTTCTTGGATTAGACATAAGAAAGTGCTGTGCAACATGTGCTGGCAACAGGTTGAAGAGAATTCTTTTATTATCCAGCTTGACTCTCTCCATATCATCTCTCTCTTCTTCTGCCTGTGGGGATAAAGGAAAAGAAAAACCTTTCCAAAAAGGAAAAGAAAAACCTTTCCAAAAAGCAAAATAGGCTGAAGCTATCAAATACTTTCTGTTAATTCATCCTTTGAAACTAAACTGAGCAAAATAATGCCTGCAAAGTAGAGTGGGAACAGTTCTTCTATACCATGCTTTTATATTGAGGCAAAATCCGTGTAAGTTCTTAGTAATTCAAGCCGATGACTACTTTCAGGGCTTGATCAGCTAAGTGTATTTCTGTCTTCTGTAGTTCTCTGTTCTTTTAAATAGGCCCTTGATATTTTTACAGAGTAAAAAGCTAGAATAATCCCACTTAAGTCACATTGGCCTTGGAGGCCAATTACTTCCCAGGCAGGTGGAGACAGTGACAGCAGTATTTGATCCACCTTTCAAAAAAGAGAAGCCTGAAGAATCACCAGTGTTTAAAGCAAACCTATGTCATTTTACAGTAAAATGGCAACAGACCTGGTAAGACAGTAACTAGTTAAAACCTAAAAAAGGTTTTAAAATTGAACATCCTTAAGAATGATATGCAATTTAAAAAAAAAAAAAAAATTAGCATTTCTAGAGTTGGTTTTAATTACCTCTTGTATTTGTCATGAAAACATATACAGTTCCTGTGCACAGAAATTTCTGTGCACAACAGCAACGGAAATTCTATCATTCATGTGAATGACAGCATTCAGAAAGAGTGCCTAGGAGTTAACACAGCTGAGGTCCTTAACCCAAAATACTGGCATCTGATTACATTTTTCTTGACTCATAGGAGTTAGTGGGAGTCATGCATTAGGAAACAATTCTGAAAATCAGACCCCTTACTGGAAAAATACTGAATACCTAGGGATCTCATTTAGGACTCTTAGGTTTGCAAATTCCAGCCTAGTCCTTAGTAGACTCTTCTGCAAAATTACTTCTCTGGAATTTGCTCCTTGTTGTTAGAGTGACTTTTGCCCCCGCATTCTGGTTTCAATTAGAAAACATTTGATCAGTACCATATAATTCATCTCATAGAAATCACAGCTTATTCTTTGCTCTTCAATCACACTTACAGAACTGTAACACAAATCTTCTGCCATGATCCCAGTATGATTTTGTTAATCTAGTTACAGTCAGCAGAAGACTGGAAGGCCACATTCTCAGGCATTGTTGAGAAACTACAATCACATAAACCATTGAAGAATCTGCTCTAATCTTTGTTCGTATCCCTTTTGTATCTAGAATTTGCTATCCTGATCTATTACAAAGTCGACATACTTTTCTTACTATCCATGTCTAAGTAGGAGAAAACCAGTCACCTCTTGCCTTTGTATAGCCTTACAATATTCTTTTCATGTGATTTTTTTTTTTCAGGAAGCTAATTTTTGCTTTCCATGACAAAACTTAGGAAACAACCTTTTTATTCAAATCACACAGTCTGCTTTGCCTTGCAGTTTACTTCTGTATTCTTAAATTTCTTTACAAGAAGAAAGAATGCTGAAAGAGAACTAGTTTTATAAATGTAACTTCTTCAGGAATCATTCCTTTTGAAATAAATTCTCAGCTCCTCCTCTAATTTGTTTAATCACAATCAGAATTTATTCCAGAGGTGAAATATCAGTAAACATTAAATAGCAGTTAAGCTCTGCAAGAAATATACCTGAAATTTTTATTCTAAGCAAGTATCTATTTCCTGTTTGTGAGCTGTTTTCCTGACACTTTTTTTGCTGTTTAAATTTCATATGCTGTTTTCTTAAGATATCCATCCCCTATTTTGGTGGTATAACTCTGTCTCTGACTTATTGTTGTCTATAAACATCTGAAATGGTCTCTTGTGTTTAGTCTGACTGTTGGAATTTAAATGTTCTAATAGTAAAAAGAAAAAGCTTTCCAGCTGAAAATCCAAACCATGCTTACCACTCCATTTTTACATCATGCTGGAATATTGGAAATTTTACTGTTATGATAGCAAAGAGATTTGCAAACTGAATTCATGCTCTGAATAAAAAATCCATTTTGGGCTTGCTTATCCATTCCTCTATTTTTTGAATAAGAACTTTTTTTGTTACTTTGTTCCTAGGAACTTTTAAGGTTCTCAGTTAAGCTCCCAATACAATATGGGGCAGAATAGCAGCCTAAAAAACAATACACCTTTGGGCAGGGCATAGAGATTTCTGGACAAGTCAAAGTAATCGAGCAGGGGTAGGTCAGTGGAGTAATCAGTCTGACGCATTGCATGGATAGTGGTGTTGCTCAATCACTGGTAGCTGCTGTTCATTTCTGATCTGGAAATGTGTGATCAGATTCCTCCGTCTTGCCAGTCATGCATTTTGGAAGACATGATTGAGAAGGTTCTTCAGCAATACGTAGTGTTTCCTACCATTGTGTATGATTCACAACAAAGGTTTCAGAGCAAGCCACAGCACAAGGACAAAGCTGCCAGCACTGAAGCAGACCCTGGTGACCTTGGTCATGTTGTTGGACTTCTGTCCAGCCTTTGACACACAGAAATAAAAGACAATTCTAATATACCAACATAAAATAAATGAGAAAGGACACTCTAGACTGTTGGTTTCCTTCTGATGGAACCTTAAGGCACGTGATGGCTTTTCTCCTCCTTTCTGTCTCACTTCAATACAGTCATGAAACTACTGGGAGAGGAATGCCAGTGACACTGCTGTGTGTGTGCGGGTATGGGTGTGACAATGTTCACAATGATGGGACCACAGCCATGACTAAGAGGCTGAGAACTGAGCTCTTGTGTGAAGAGCTAGGGGCTCAAACCAAACCACCAAAGTCATGACTGAATGGGTAGCAAAATACTCTAAGAGCAGGGAAAGGCATCAAGGATGTCACCATTGCTAAGAAACACAGTTAATGCTAGTAGAATGCAACACACCTAGCAATCATCTTTTCCTCTCTTTGGATGCAAAACTGTTAACTACAATTTTGACTCTGAGAAGGTTCAGTTGCCAGAAATGAGATTAAAGCCACTAAGATCATGGAAGGCCCTTGAATAATACCATGGTAAGTAATGGTAGCAAACTCTAAATAGAGACAAATTATGCAAACAGCAGAACAAAAGGAATGCAGCTCAAGTGCTCTTAGCTTTTTGTGCCCTGGCCTATTTCAAGTCAGGCACTTCCTAGCCAGCAGGGAGAGAGGAGTGCACTCTCTCCAGGTGGTTCAAGGAGACATTTGCACTGGCAGCGCCTATGTGGGGCAATGCAGTGCCATGAAGAATAAGATGTGTTAGCTCTGCCGACTTAGACCCAAACCTAGAAGCAGAATGTTCATGGAATTAGCATAGCACTCCTTCTGACCTGCTTAGTCATGTTGAAAAGCAAGGTGTATTAGCTTAGACCACACACTGGGTTAATACTGCTATAATGTTGCTGGTACCCTAGCCGGCGTCTCTGCATGGACTGTACTTACACCACCCAGACATACCAAATGTCTAACATCCTACCTTTATTAAAGTGATCTGCTAGGATTATGAACTGAAGTATACCTTCTCTGCTACTACTGCACAGAGTTTGTGTATCCATCCTCTTGCCCTGCACTGCCTAAGACAGCTCTCATGTACACAGCTCCTCAAGAGCTGGGGAAAGAGGAAAGATCTCCTAGTGTCTCTTGCAAGGAAAGATAAGGAGTGAAGGTGACGTAAAAAAAGACTTGGTCATGTTCAGCAGTGAGGACTCTAAAACTATACCATCACACGGCTCTATGGGGAGGGAAGTAAACTGATTACTGATATTTTCTGGACCTTTTTCCAGCTTCCTGCTTTCTGCCCTTCAGGGGAATGCAATGAAAACTGTCTTTCCTCCTTGTGACTCATGAACTCCCAGTGCCTACTCTTTGAGCAGGTAAAAGGCATCACCCTTTCCCAGGCAAAACAGACACTGAGAAGGGAGAAGGAGTACTCGGGGCTGGAGAAAGAAGATTAATATAGTACAGATCACAGGTATTTACATTCCTTATGGAAATATTATCCAGACAGCTAAATAGCATCCAAATCTTCGTCTATTTGCCCCTATTCCTATTGGTTAATTAAGGAAAGCTGCCAGCATGATATTTATGCAATAGCTGCTGGCTCAAAAAACAGGCAAATTATTGTGAAAATAAACAAGAAAGAAAATACATAGGCAGGAGCAACATCATTTTTCACATTCTGCTTTTTGCTTATACCTGTTTGGTATTCGTGGCAGCTAGGTCATTTTGCAGAACTTAACTGTATTTGCAGAGCTGCAGTGTTTAAAAGCAGGCTTTGTTTTTGCTTCGGACCTGGTGACAAAATTTATAATGTTCTTTGGTACCATGGTCTTTGACATCAATGTAATTAACAGCTATTGCATTTTACGAAGTTACACAGCATGCCACAGTTTTTACCGTGCTGGTAACTGGTTACACATCCTCTGGTCAGGAAATGGTCTGAGCTGTTGTATCTCCTGAGCTATCAGGTGACTGTTTAATAAGCATGAAAATGCCGTAGCAATGTCACTGAATGAAGAGTTATAACATGAAAATCCCCTGTTTCAAGATACAGCTAAAAAGAAGCCGGGCACCGGTGCTGCAGAAACATCATCTTTGTACCTGAAGGTGGCACTAAAACCACAGGGAAGAGACCCATCACACTGCTTCCATAAGGCCAGATTTTTAAGAGGAAGTGCAAGCACACCTGGCAAGTCTTGCCTGCCGACTGTAAAATACATACTTCTTACATATGTCACGGATTAGAAAAGACAGCTGAATGATATTCTTGTATTCCCTAAAGAATGCAACAATCAGTCATATCATTGTATTATTCTTATTTTCCTCCCCTGACAAATCCTGGGTGAGTGAGCAACTCCATTTTTTTGGCAGTTTTAGCTTCTTCACAAATGTATTGCTTGTATTTATTTGTCCTTATTTTTTTCCCCCCAGTTTTGTTGAATAATTTGCATAAGCAAAAGTGATTATCAGTCACAAATAAGTAAAATGCTCCTATATTTGCTATTCACAGTTATTGTCATATAAGGCACACAGAGTTACTCAACAATGTCATGTAGAAAATTAAATTCTCCTCCCACTGCCTGTTAAAAAAAAAAAAAAACAAAAACAAACCCAAACCAGATATCTTCTAGAAATACTGTGATATTCAGAAAGGTTAAATTTGGCACAGAAAAACCCTAGCAAAATCAACAAGAACCTATAACAACATTGACATGTGAACAGTAAGTACAAATATAACTTTTAACAACTTATCATCAGTCAGAAAAATCTATATTTTCCACACGATGTACATAAATCATACTGTATTATCTCTGTTCTGGTTACGTAACCTAGATGCACGGAAATTAGATTAACTTTTCTTGAAACTGTATCATTTTTCTAAATCAGTTTTTCTTGTTTGAAATCTGCTTTTCCTCAAAACACATTTTTTTCCTTATGTGGCAGACAAAATCTATGGAAATGAGTTTTCCTCAGACCTTAGCATAGACCACTGAGCATCTACCTATATATTTTTATTAATAATGGTATTAATTGCAGGATACTGTCAGTGTTTAAAATATCATTTAGTTAGTACTAGACTGTTTGTTGTTCATGATGAAGTAAATGAAAATATCTGTGAAATCCTTTTTATTGCAGCTTATGCCAATGGTTTTATTCATCTGAGAACATTTTTTACAGGATTAGCCCCAAAATGAGCTTTACTAAGAAGTATGCAAACAAGGTGCTTACAACTTCCAGAATAGCCCTTGAGTCTGAAATTCTCCCAGTTGTAAGCCAACAACTGAGAAGCTTCCTAAAAATACATGTTGTACCATGTTGGCACATCTTTCACACAGCAGCAGCTGGCTACTGGGAGATGTGAGTCTCCAGCTGTAGCAGTGGTTTATGCAGTTCAGTGTTTGCACAAAGAACCAGCACACTCACTCTGTAAAACAGAAGAAAATCTCCACATTCCTTGTGCACTAAGTCAATGATCTTTCTAAAACTTCTGCTACCAAGAATGTAACCAAGTTAAGCCAACACGGTTCAATGGTAAGTAGTACTGCAGCTGTAGAGAAACATTACCAAGAATGCTGTTTAATCATATGCAGGGCAGTCCAGCAGCTAGAGAAAACTGTCACTCGGGAAGGTGGTTTTTACCCTTGTCTCCTCTTAAAGACTGTTAAACCATTAATAGCTTGGAGTTTGCTAACTATTCAAAGGCAGTTTTAACATATAGGTATTTCCAACCAACGGTCTTCCCAGAGCTTTTAATACTCAGATTTTTACTATGCCAAAGAGCCTAATAAATACAAAGATAATGGGTTTTTTACGTATCCATTTGAATAGGTAAGCACCATAAGCACTTCTGTAACATCCATCATGACGGTACTTCTGCATGTTATGTTAATTAGCCCTTGTATTCAGTATCATTTACAACCAATATACAGAGTGGAAACCAGGACAACATTCTTTACAACATGTTACCCACTATTATTTATTGTACACAGAATAAATCATTCATGTGGAATCCAGAAGAACAAGGGTATATGCCCAGATCATCAAAGAGGCCAAACATCTACCCAGCATACTGATTTCAAAGAATGGTAGTTATGTTGATCCCTAATTTCTGAATTTTCTACCTACACTGACTTTTTTTTGTATCTGATTATTATCATGCAAATCTCACAGACAAGATGGTACCACATAAGTACCTGATTTGCAATTGAAAAGATCTGAAAATGGCATTTGATCTTAGATGAAAAGCACTTTTTGAAATGGTACCTGAAGATACTGCTGAACATTACTGAAATTTATAGGCATCCACATGTCTTAACTCCCCTTATTATCCTTTGGAGTAAGTACACAATGGTTTCAACAACAGTGGTAGATGATTAGGTATTTCTGTAAAACCTGGCCACAAGAAGACAGAAAAAGTTTATATTTCTTCCTTTACTATTGTCCAGTTCTGGTCTTTCAGCAGGCAAACATCCCATTAGTTTCCTGTACTTGAATCTTTAAAACTAATTGATTGCTAATTAAAAGCCAAGTTAAAACTAAGAATCTTTAAGCAGTACATCCCTTAGGGATGCACAATTCACCGTGCAAGTCATAGTAGCTGGAATGATGAAAAGCATTTAAGGTGCTAGAACTCACTCTTGACCTGTTGAAAGGCCACAGGATAGCAAAACAGTATCTTCCTGCTTGCTACTCTATTTCACGGCTAGGAATAACATACAGAAGGTCTCGTATTCATGGATCATATGGCACTCGCATATCTTCACCATGTGCCAATCTATATAAAGATAGCTACTATACAGCTAGTCATGTGCTACTCTGAGTTTCAAAGTCAGGGGATTTTTTTTTTTCCACCTAAAAACTATATTTGGCACCACAGCAAGCGGAAACTATTATCAGTTTGTCCAAAACAAACTTCTGAGGCTGACAGGCACAGCACATATCAATACTGCAGGTCATAGGAAAAAATTAAATGAAGTGATGACGCGTTATTGACTCAGTTAAACAGCACAGAGACCACAGAAATTATAGAACAAGATAAACTGAAATCATAAAGGAGGTGGACATGATCTTGGACATCATGACAAACAAAAAATCCCAAGAGACCTCAACTGTTAGGTTGAAAAACTTTAAGAGTAGAAGATAATAGAGCAAAGTCATTCCTGATTTCTCCACTCTAGGGAACACAGTAGAGTCAGCGATGTGTTTAACCCATGTGTTCCAGTCTTGATCTTACACATAATAGCAAGCACTGTGACGATTTACACAGTCCTCTTAACAACACAGTTAACAGGGTGTAGGTGAGAACAGGATGTGACCTCTGTGAACTACAAGAGTGTAAGAGTGTTAGATTTATCAGAAACACAACTTCCAAATTCCACCAAAACAAACTTGCATCTTCTTCAACTTTCTCCTTCCTTCAGGGGCCAGTGTAAAACACTTTGGAGGTGGGAATAGGACTGCTGAGAGGCGTGACAGAGACAGACGTTTCCTGATGCCCCTGCTTATGGCTAATATAATTTCTATATGCTTTGCTGTGATTATGATAGTTAGAAAATATATTTTCAAAAAAAGTCCATGCACTTGGTATTTAAATACATTTCTAATCTTCCTTTGAGAGAGAGTTCCATATTTTCATTGCATGATATGGGTATAAGTATTTCCTTTTATCAGTTTTGTTTGCTTCTTTTCAGTTTACCTGAACATCAACTTATTTTCATCCCTTTTTGTATTATAAGATGAAAAAACCCCATGGATTTAATTTCTTTATCTCAAGTTAATATTGCTAACAGTCAATTTCCCATGTTTGAAATTCTCTCTATCCATAATGCACTTTAGATATAAATATATTACTTCATTAATGATGTACTGTTATGGAACAACTACAAACAAAAAAAAAAATCACTTCTCCAGAAGAAATGAATTTTATAGGTCTGTGGAAAGAAAGCTCTAATAATTTTTCTCTGTAAATGCCAACAGACATGAAAAATGCTGAAAGTGTCTTAGTCCAACTGATTTGTTCTGAAAGTATTTGCAAGCCAATTCAAAAGTCAGACATCATTTTGTGTGCATGGATACTAGAAAGAAAAGTCCTATGACTTACCTGCACAGCCCAGAGGTAGTCCAGACGCAGCTTCAAATCCACCTGTCTGGAATGCAGTGCCAAAGCACAAGAAAATAGCAAAATGGCTAATATTGGTTCATAGCCACGCATATAAAAGGAGCCACCCCTTAAAAATAAAAGGAAAGTAAATGGGTTATTCCAGGTTTTCTAATACCTAACACTGCATATTTTAAATACCAGATCTTTAGTTTAGAACACATGGGTACCCCCTAATCACTAGCCTCTTCTGAAGAGGTTTATATGGGCAGGGAGATGGGTGACAGTAAATCTGATCACTGTATCACCCCAACATTCAACTTCTTGAGGATTTTATAATGCTATACATTATTGTAATGTGTGTGCATGCTTTTAATTAGGAAATATAAAAACACTCAAAAGCTCAGAAGCTTAAATTAAATTGGAATTGGTTGAGGGCTGGTGAAATATGGAAGTGAAGGTTTTAACAGTGTTTTTCTATTTCATATTATAATTAGACTGCAGTGTGTTCAACTGAGGTATGTTAGCATAAAACTACAGAATAATAGGGCAACACTTGCTAGTTCCCAAAAGCTGATCTTCTGTTGATGGATATTACTAGATCGTACAATTGCTGGGGAGAGGATGGCTTAAGTATTTCTTAGGCTCTACTGAGTATATAGCCCTAAGCAGCACTGAATGCTAGAGGACAATTCACAGATGAGTAGTCAATGTTGTGACTATCTACACAGAAATACCCGTTGCTTTAACTTTGCAAGATACCTACCCCACTGCTTTTCTGTAACCACTGAGTTCCAGAATAACTATGTACAAAATTGTAACAAAGAGCAGGAGAATCATTTTTGGCAAGGAAGATACACGTAGAAATATTGCCAAGGTGAGAGTCCCCACTACACAGGAAAGGAAAGCATAGTGGGCCGTGTCACATGGAAGTTCATTCATTGTTTTATTTGTTCCACCAGGAGAAATGATAACTATTGAACTGCTGGAATTGGTATTCCAAACCCAAGGCATACAGCCAACCTAGAAAAGACAGGAGAGGTGAGAAGTGGAGAAAGTTAAATATGAAATAAACAGAAATGCAGCTGCTATGGGGGCTGACTGTAGTTCGTTTCTAATTGGGAAAGTATGGCCATGGAGTTCCCATTCAGCTCACTACTCTAATAAAATCTCTCTTCTTTTGCTGTAATGCTTTACTCAGTTTTAGGTAGGAGACACTTTTTGTTCATTAGATGCCAGCAAGGCCAACCAATTAAAGTCTGGGCTTAGTTGAATAGTTTCCCTCTCAGTGCTCAAAACCATGAGATTCTCAAGCCAACATATTCCTGCAAAATTAAGGAACTTCAGTAAACATCTTATGTGGCCATGTGGGTGAGAAAGGTTTTTGCACAGAGCACAGAAAGATATGTGTTTGTTTTATTGACTATGTAAATTGTATCAATTTCAATTAATCAAATATAAAACAAAACATATTTTAATCTTTAAATGAAAAGCTAAACATGAATAATATCTTTTCTCCACTTCAGAGCTACTTCTGCTATCACATGTGATTCAAATACAAGGCCTCATCTTTAATTATCCCTGCCATTTCAGTTATCCAAGGAGTTCCATTTCCTCCCTAGACTGGGAAATAAAAAAATGGTTTAGTGCATTTCCTATGGGAAATTTTGAGGAAATTTAACCTGCATCTTTCAAAGGCAATGTCATGTACACATCTCAGAGCTGCTACCCAAGGAAGGGAGGAATTTCTGGCAAATAGTGCAAGTCCCTAGAGCTCCAGTTTTAATTGCACTCCAACCTTCACCCCTTATGAAAGGAGAGGATAAGAGTTAGCATAAAAGGGGAGAGTGGGATGGTAGTGTGAAATTGATTTTAACAGGCACCGCCACATAAGCCCTGCCCTGTGCTTAAGCTTGTCTTTTGAAGTGTGTTATTAGACCTTTTTATTTCATCCTAACCACTGATAATGAAATTTTATAGCATGCTGTAAAATAACTGACAACCTGAAAGGTGATTAAGCAGTATATTTTACAAGGGGTTGTAGTCATTTAAAAAGATGAGACATAACAGATAAAATGTGAGTTAAACTCATAATGGCTAACATTATGAAATGAGATGAGAAAGAGTGAAGTGAAAAATCTGTTTAATGTGATTTTGTTCAATAGCCTTTAAAATTATGTTCATACTAAACTCATCCAAAAACATAGGCATGCATGAGGGCTTCATAAATGATTTGCAATCCATCCAGGAAAACACTATCTGCTCTACAACTAAGAGTGAAATCTCAACACTTAGCTCCTGTGCTAGCTGAGAATTCTAGAGGCATTACTTTGCAGGAACTAATAACTTCTCCTGATTAAACATTTCTCCTAAGCATTTCAATAGTTACAGGCTATTTTTGCTTCAATAAAGGATAAAGTTATATTTGTAAGCCATTCTAAGTTGTAACTGAATGATCACTGCCTGTTGGAGGCCAGAACTTCTGAATTGTAATCTGCCTTCTTCCACTGATGTTCAACGTTGCCTTAGGCCTTACGATGTCTGTTTCTCATTTTCACCATCTTTAAGTGGCAACAATGGTGCTTGTTTCATTTGGTCAAAGTGTCAGACCTATGGGGGCTGATCCACAAAGGTTCCAGCTGTCATAATATTCATCTCAATTCCAAAGTCAGATACGCAGAACTTGCTGAGATGCTAGCTAGCCTGGAGGCACTGCACATCTCTATGCATTTTGGGCTTATATGCACATTAAGAACCACATATATGTCTGTGTGCTATTAGGGCTGTGTGTCACTCACACAGCTGATGTTCAGGAATTCCCAGAAATGTCTGAACATCAGTAGTTCTTGGTACCTCTCAGGACACTGGAATTCACAGACAAGGGATCCTCTGCCCATTCAGTTCATGGGGATCAGCTTGGTAGATGTTCTCAGGGCAGGTCCAGGGGCTTGGCATCTCAGTTAGCACTGTGAATTGCTCATGAAATCACTGTCTTCCTATCGGTCAGAACATATTGCCTAAATCCCGCAGAGAAGCATGAGACATCTGCCTTCTCAGCATTTCCAGTTGTGTTTAGCATGCTATTTTTGTGTGGATTCTTTCCTTTGGGTACCCTAACATGTTTAATTCATTAGCATTAGCAGCCAAAATGCTGAAATTGAGTGCTAGGAATTTGACAAGGCCAAATACTTAGGTGGAAGTTTAAATCCCATTTGACATTCAAGTCCACCATGTAGAACTAGCTGCTAATCTACAGTAAAAGAAGCTCAATTTTCAGAAGTATTGGGCAAGTTCAATTCATACAAGAGAAGCTTCCTAGACATTAGATATGAATGGATCATGTAAGTAGCACAGTGTAAGCACCTCTTCTCGTTAGCAATACTGCCTATATTTTAGATCTCGTTATCTTTTCTGATCTGCCTGGACTAAAAATATCCCCGTTATTACACAGAAATATGTTCTGTAAGTTGCCACATAGAAATAAGTAATCTTGTTTGACACCATGCCTTGTCTGTCACAAAATATTAGCCATTGAACTAGTAAGCCAGTTGAACATTTAAAAATAGTTTTCCCATAAAGTACATGATATCAGCAGACTATGTGATACTAAAGTTTGATATAAAAATTTCTATAGGTGTTGACTAGGTATTATCTGTGTAATTTGCTAATAGCTTTGCCATTCCTAATTCAACACCCTGACTCAGGGCAGTGAAAGTTTGAATTATAGCAAAGGACTTTAATTTTGAAGAAACATGCTCTGCAAGTGTGAATAATAAAAAGAGTAGGAATTCACCAGGTAAGAATATGGTATGTGTTTAACAGATCCATACCAAGTTGTTCTTTAAGCAGAATGCTAAATTAAGCGATACTTGATTTAAATACTCACCACACATCCTTGAGCCACGGAGTATATTAAGATCACAATAAAAATACACAAAATGGTACGAATTTGTATTGTCAGGCACCCTGGAAAACACTAAGGAAGAAAAAAAAAGATTCATAGATAAAGATTTAAAAATATTTTTTAAAGTGGGGTTGTTATTTTTTAGTAGTCTATAAAAAGAAGTGAATAAAGGAAATTTTGCCTGCACTGCAAATTACGAAACAAGCATGCAGTTATTGTTGTGTACATGTGTTTTAATGGTAATTGCATTTTTGGGGGTAATAAATATGAAATTATTATTACTATACATTATTTCTCACTACAATTAAACTCTTTGAAAGGTTAGCAGGATGTCTGCTCATAATAAATTAGGATGGCATTTGATTTTGTTCCCATGGGGAAAATACCCAAAGCATCTTTTGCCTTGCAAATTATCAACTACAAATAGTGATCCAAGAGAACATACTGTGGTAGCATAGAATTCTGGAGTGGTATTTTTTGTCTTCTGCTATAATAGTCATGTTAAATGCCAGGGTAGTTTTAATTATCAGGACTCATTAAAAATATTGAACTTGTCAGAGCAGAAAGAGCAGTAGAGAACAAAAATGTCTGGCGGGATGGAGTCTTGTGAATCTCTTGCTCATTTCCATTTTTACCCTGATTCCATCACTGTGAAGTGTGAAGTGCTTGCTGCTGTGAGCATATATGAAGCCAGTGACAGAAGGTGAGAGAGGAAGGATAAGTCTGTCAGGCTCTAGTACTTGTGCTTGTTCCAGTCATACTTATCTACTCTGGTTTCAGGGAAAGCTGCTTTCCTTCTTTTCCCCTGGCATGTTTGGGGCATCTATTACCTACTGGATCCATGGTATGTCTCTCAGACCACAGGACTTCTTCCAGTGACTTAAAAGGGCAAAAATAAACTCCTGGAAACAATCAGATTTAAAGGGAGAACAATCCTGTGTCCCTTCAAAGGAGGGGGCTCAGACTTATAAGGGCTGGATTTGACTTAAGATCAAATGGAGCAAGCAAACACCTAATTTTTGGACGAAAGTCACCAGTGAAGAAAAGCTGTTCATTTCATGGGTATCATCAACATCAAAAGCATAGCTTCCAACAGGCAGCAAAGTACCCATAGAGAGGGGCTTCTGTGGCCTTGGCACAACAGAAATCATGTATTGAAACTCCTCCCCTTCCTTTCACAGAGACATTTCCCTTGTATGTGTGACCATGAATTAAAAGTTTGAGATAGTTATAGGTGAATCAACTTCATCTGGGCTGTGAAACATGAGAATACAGCAATTACAGAAAAAAAAAAAAGTATGTGTGATCTGCAAACACGTTCTGGCTTCAGTATGGATTAAGTCCATGTAAATGTAGGTGGAGAACAAATAACGTAGTATCAATAGTAGATTTATGGACCTGAGTTAATTGACTACACCAGAAATCAGTTTAACTATTAGTCAGCATCAGTAAAATATATTGGGATACCCAAGGTATATCACCTTTAATAAATCAGTGAGCATATTTTAGAACAAAAACCTCGAATTGTAAGAATCTCACATTGAAAAGCTGTGTCTCAAGGGAGGGGATATAGCAGTGTCCAAAATTACACTATGAAAAAAGAGATAGACTATTTCTGCATTTATTCATCATTATCATGCAGTTCAGGTTGGAAGGGACCTCAAGGGCCCCAAAAGTGCTGTCTGCCTTGACCCCCAGGGCCATTTCTGCAGAGCTGGTCAGTCCCCAGCCTGTGTCATTGCAGGTGGTTCTTCCTTCTCAGGGCCTGGACTTTGCATTTATTCATGCTGTATTTCATAAGAATCCTGTTGGCCCATTCTGCCAACCTATCTAGGTCCCCCTCAATGGTCATCTTGCCAGTGTGTTGGCTGTTACCCCAAAATTTGAGTCACCTGAAAACTTGACATGAGTATACTCCATGTCCTTCTCTAGGTCAATGATAAAAATGTTTAACAGGACAGGTCCCAGGATAAACTCCTGTGGTACCCCACTTATTACTGGCTTCCAGGTAGAGTACAACCATAAACTGCTGTGCTCTGAATGTGATCATCCAGATGGTTTTTCACCCATCAAGTTGTCCACCCAACTAGACCAAAATCCTATGCATATATGTGTGTTTTTATCCATATAAATAAAACACAAAATAATAATTATGTTTGAAGGAAATATACATATTCCACTAATTCAGTTTGCAACCAAATAATTATCTACTGCTTGTTAAAGAGAGAATCCCCATAGTTCGAAGATAATGCTGCATGATTAATAGTGACAAAGCAAAATGCAGATTCAAAGACAATGTGTCCTGACACATTGCTTGGACTTCTTTGTGTGTGTGTGGTATGTATATATTCTAAATGTTGACATGCTAGGCTATTGGGTTAAAAAGGAAAATAAACCTTTACAAGGTAAGGTATGAGACATGTCTGAATTTAAACTCTGACTGACACTTAAGATTTATACTTTGACTTTTGGTCATTCTAAGATTGCATCTGCCCTTTATGATAGCATAGCATTTTGGGCTTAATCTTCATTTTCTTTTATTTGTGGAATTTTTATTAACTAAATAAGTACTGTCAGATCTCCAAAATGCTAGGTAACTGGTACAGTAAAACATTATTATAGTGTTTTTATGAGTGAGGCATTTGATGCTAACGCATGGAGAAGTTGAGTCACTTGTCCAGTGTAAAATAGCAAATAAGTGCCAGAAGACTGATTAAAATAGGGGAATGACTGGTTTACAATTCTATATTCATTATACATAGCATATTCATTATCTTTTATTTATTATATAAGACAAATTTTCACCACAAAATTTCAAACTGTGATACTCTTGAGTTTTTATATTTCTTTATTTTTCTAATGCTGGATTTGATCCTGTAAGGTATTGAATCTCTAGAGGAACCTGCAATAAATTCAAATTCTGTTGACTGCCAAAACAGCTGGCACAAACCGTAAGTTTGCACTAGCCCCTCCTTTGCATAAAGAGGAGCAATTTCCTACAAACTTCAGCTGTGTTTCTACCGTCCATAGACAGAACAACAGATGATAAACTACTGTGTCTTTATGAAACAAAAAAGATCATCAAAATTACTCCCAAATAATTGTGTAAGTTTATAAATAAAAATCTGCTCTGTACCAGATACTCTGCTAATATACTATTTATGTTTCCATGAAAACAATTACTTTTCTCCTGCCAAAGGGCATTTTTTCTTAACTAAAAATTAGCGTGTGCTAATCAGCAAAGCTGATTAACTGTGTAGGTGTTTTCTCCTGATATTTGTCTGAAAAGACTAAATTTAGATTAAGCCACTACGGATTTCTTTCATCAGAAAATTAGTCTGTAGATGCTTTATTCTGATCTGGCAGACCTAGTTCTCTCCTACAACAACGAAATGTCCTTCTGCATCATTACTGTTGTGAAAATGTAATGCAGGAGAATTAATCATTACTAAAGGTTTTGAAAAGGCCAAGGGTTGCGTGTGCAAAACATTGTGCTTTACCATCAAAACAGGTGCTGCTTTGGCAGGAAAAGTTTTGAAAACAGAGGGGAAGTTAGCAGGACTTTACACCCAGATACCAGCCAGAATGGAAGGGAGAACTAGTGTGCTCCATAGTCAGAAAGGAGAAGACGACGGGTTAAAGCAGCTGTTTATCTGAACACTGGAATGATTCAGTAGCTAGTGGTAGGTGTTCAGGGAAGATGTAGCAAAAGAGACAAAAAGCTTAACATTAATGGAGCTGAATGCTACACTGCTGTAATGATTACTCATGTAAAAAGTCTACTTTCAGGTGAACCACCTTTGTTTTTGAAGTGTCTAATGCATTACTTAGCAATGAACTTGAAAAGCACATAGATTTCAGACCCTATAAATCTGTGAAGCATGCGCTGACGGCTTCCTATTCTGAAGGACAAACAAAGCATAGCCACCAAAAGGAAGAATAGTCATAAAATCTTAAATCACTTACTTGTACTCGTGTGACATGTAGGTACATAATACAAGCCACTAGGAAGCATATGCAGAACACCAGGAGAATAAGAACTACGGTACTCCTAGAATCAAAACACAATAGAAGTAAAGCAATGCAACTCAGTAGCAGATGAGAACAAACAGCACAGGGGTTCCTCCGAAATGGTATTTTGGATGAATGGTGGAGGACTTCCCTCTCACCCTTGCTGTAATACTAACTGTCACAGAGGAAATTTCACAGTGAAATGCACTGCTCTCAAGAATGAGAAATCAGTAAATGCTCTTGTATATGGTGACCTCAGCAAGGAGATCAAAGCTCCTCAAAAATTCAATTGTATGGTGTGTCAGGAGAGACACTTTCTAACTGTAGGCTAATGCAGAATATTCAGCATGATTATTCTTATAAGTGGAGTGTGTAACCCAATTATTTGGCCTTGGTAGCTGTGTAACAGTCACCAGATGCTTCTCCCTTCTAATCTCTCCTTCTCAAAGATTCAGAAATCAGAGGTCAGTCAATTCAGTCACTTATCAAGTCAAATAAAATCAGACCAGAGTGCAACCCCTTTTTCTAATGAAACAGAGCAACTCCCTCCTTTTGAGTCTTCCTCAATGGTTAGAAAAATCTTAGGTTTCACAAAGATGCTGTAAGAATTCTTTTAATTCTTAATCTTCCCTCTCCTGACCTTTCAAAATAGGCTTGTTCTTCATGAGAATAGGATTGCAGACTAAGTACTTCCCTCCTCCAGAAAACCTGTGCTATTGGAACAGTACCTTATGGATATGAGCAAGCTGGCAAAAATTAGTCCACCAGTGCTGGTGCTTTGATTTATGCTCAGGGACAGCCTGGCCCCAAGGCAGCCATGGAACCAGGGCTGTATGACAGCAGCATAACATGATCTTCACACCTTCTTTTCTAGTCTTGTGAAAACAACCCAGCCAGTCCAGATGTGAGCCACGGCTGCAGGCATATATATATCTGTGCCCTTGACCATCACTGGGGAAAGATTGTTTATATAGGGTTTCTAACAGTAGAAGGGAAGAGTGCAATTCTTCTGCTGTAGAATTTCTCAGTATTTGGCTTTGACTTCAAATTCCTGTAACAATTCCCACACAAACAGGGAAAATTCTCTGGTGTAGTATGTGTATCCAGAATGGGGAGGTGACTCTAGATGCTGTCAGTGTGGCTTCTGAATACAGCAGGCTCTCCTGTACTTTTAGAGAGTTGGCTTGTATTCAGGATGGTAGTATGCTAGAAAAAAATGCAGGGGACATGATTGCAACAGTGTCTTTTCAGGCAGCAACAGCCAACAACTGACCCTAATGCTGAGTGGGACCCTGACAGAGATTTGGGTTGGCACCAGTAACAAAGGGCTACATTGTTTCTTAAAAATAAACCTAGCAGAAGACATCAGAAAGGTTCATCATCGGGGCTTTTAGAGGCTATGCTGCATGCGTACCTCCATAATTGGACAGCTTAGGTTGAAAGGAACATAGCCTTACTTTCACCAGCTCCATCTCTGGGGATAAAAAACATGTCTGTAGCTGAGAAGCTGTTTTGCTTAGATGATCATAGGAATTGTGAGAATGTCAAGCCCATTGCTTTCTGTGTATTTATGCAGCAACTGGCTTTCTTACAACATTTTCTTGTCTCTAGATTTTGAACCTCCTCCTTGGAATATTGTGATTCATGTCAAATACCATTATTATCACTTCTCCCTTACTGTAAAGTAACACATTACACTTCTTGTCTTGGCTTTTGCATTCTCTTGTCCTACTTATAACTACTTTGGCAATCTAAAGAGCAACTTAAAGCTCCAAGTTCTGTGGAGAGGGGAAATTTTCCAATACTTCCTAAGTTTTGGTCTAGCTCATGGTTGTATCTGTGTCACAGCAAGGGAAGAGCCTGAGAAGACCAGTAATTTGGTTGTATGAAGGCACCACCAACAGACACTGGAAGAGAGAACTTAAGACCAATCGGTGGGTGGCTTTTCTAACTAACCCAGTGATGAACCAGTCCATCTTCATGTCCTTCAGTGGTCATGTTCTGCTGGAGCTTGTGTGTCTGTCAGATCAGAGCCTAAACCAAATCTCTGTCTAGTTGTTTTTTAAGTGACAGTGCTTTTTTGGAAACGTTACCAGCTGCCATACCATATGATTCTTGGAAATTCATTCTAGTTTCAGCTACCCTAATACTCTTTGTCTCTCCTTGTTCTAAACTGCCATGTGTTGCAGCTGGGCTTTACTTCAGAAGTAGGTGAAAAAGTTCTTAACTATGCTCCAATTAGTCAGCAGAGGTCGTTAGCCTGGAAATTAGATGATTTTTGTAAGTGACTTTGAATGCTTCAGGTGAAAGGTATTATACAACAAATTTACATGATGATTATTATTACTAAAGTAAAAAAGGTGTTTCTCAAACTTTCAATTAGAACAATAGAATATAAGAGTAAGTATTATTGTGAGTGGGATTTGTGAATAGAAAAGACCAGAATTTAAAATGGGATTTTCAAAAGCATTATCCAGTTCTACTCCCATTGAAATCCTAATAATTAGTAAAAGTGAGTGAAGCTTATTTTGAATATTTTGATATTCTCATCTGAAAAAGCTCATTACTAATAATTTTTATACCTTCTACACAATTATATCTACTTATTATAATCCCTAGATTTGAAAGTGAAGTCTAATTTTTTTTTTATTTAGTAAGCATTCACATAGAATTGACAAAACCTGAAGTAATCATGAAACTGTATCACTCAACAATAGGCATCAGACACCCCCCAAATACATCATGAGCATTTGGTTATGTCTGCTTTAGTGCAGCCAAGGTCTGACTGCATCTCATGTGGGAATGGCCAAACTACGCTCTAGGCAGTTTGTGTAGTGATAGCATTGATACCAAAAACTTCAATGCAGGCTATAAATTTGGGTTGAAAAGCTGGATGGATGCTTCAGTACTTAGTTCCCGTTAAGCTCTGTGTAATTTTATCTATGTTGCTATCAATACCTGAAGCACCTCATCCAAATACATTTAGAAAAGCTGCAGTAACACCTTTGTTCGTAGTACAGAAATGCTTTAAATAAGTTTAGCAGATTTCAAGTGTTTTTGTCTTCTAAGTGCATCCTTCTCTGAAAAAAAAAAAAGAAAAAAAAAGAAAAAAAAAGGAAAAAAGGAAAAAAAAGGAAAAAAAAAAGAAAAAAAAAAGAAAAAAAAAGGAAAAAGGGAAAAAAAGGAAAAAAAAAAGGAAAAAAGAGAGAGAATAGGGAAGAAATTGTTTTAAATAAAATAGCAAAATGTGGCTCCTTTGGACAAATCGAAGAGATAACACTTAGACTGAGGGTATGCCAACAGAGAATCTCCTGTTCGAGAAGATACCGACCTGGGTGCTAATTCCCATTCCAAAGACATTAATGTTTTGACCTGTGCAGGATGCTTGAAGATGTTCCACTTTGAATTATAATGGCTAAAGACTGAAACTTACTGTGGTATTATTAGAAGGTAGACAAGGCCAAATAAGGCAGCTAGAATTAGTGAGAGAACTACAGCACTGGTAAAGTACTCATCCTGAAGCTGGTGGTACTGTTAAAGAAAGGAAGAAATGAAGACAATGAGCATTTTATACACACCCAGCCACCCACACTTGTCCATTCTCAGTCAGAAAGAACTATAGTCTAAAATAAAACAAGCCCTTACCCGTTTTACAAACATACAAATAATCATTGCTTAATTCACATGAAAAAAAAGATGAAGCAAGACATTTTCCTTGATGATCTTCTGTTTCAGCTGATTCTGTTGGCCTAGCTGTTTAGTTTTCACCCTGTAACTAGTCAAATCTGTGTTAGGCTCAGAGACAGTTTTATCTTTCAGAGCAAAAAGGATTCAGCCATTTTGAACCAGAAGGAGGTGGCATTCCCTCCTCTCCACTTATTCATCACAAAAAAACGCCAAAACCCCCTTGGTGCTGCCTTCAAGGAGTCCTGTCACCTCAGCTGCTCAGGACAGGACACTTAATGGGTGGACTGGAGGCAGCTGCTAATGAGAGACACGGGCTCAGTTTTGAGCAGTTAATGTCCCTGATTTCACTAAGCCACAGTCCTTACAACAGAACACTTTTTGGGGTGGAAACGCACGAGTGTTTTCTCAGAAAGATCCAAATTTCAATCTCATTTAAACCAAAAGACTTTCTTATTTTGAAAGAAAACAATTACAATTAAATAATAAATAACGTATTAATAAATCACTTATTAATAAATAAAAACTTGAAATCAAAGTTAATGCTCAAGACCTTAAAAAAATTGAGTCCAATGTGGCACACAGCCTTTGCCTTTAAACAGTAGTGACATGATATCTTAGACTACGAAATGACTTACAGTAGAAAAATAAATGCTACTGCCAAATTAATCCAAAATCATATAACTTTTGCTTTTTCAAACACATAAACCAAAGGCTTTTTTTTTTTTTCCCAATTAAAACAATCTGTATTTACAAACAAAACCCATACAAGATAGGAACAAACAGCTCTACTTTGTTAGCTTTTATGCACGCTTACAAGTCTGGAGTAAGTCCACTGCTTTCAGCACAGTCACACTGGCATAAAATCACAACCTTGCCAAGAGATTTAAGTTTTTTTTATATTTTCTAGGATTGATGGGATCAATACTTATCTGGCTACATATGCAGAGGAAAGCATCCTCCTATCATTAACACTGCTCCAGAGCAGATGAGTCAGTAGGCAGCTACATTGCCATGAGACAGCATCAAACAGGTGACGCAGATCAGGCAGTTTGGAGAAGCAAAAGGAAGGCCAAAACATAGGATGTGTAACTTTATGGTGAGGACCTTGATAAGTAGAAAGATATTGATCTTTCTTTTTATCCCCTCCAAGTCCTTCCATAGAAGGTGGAGATAATGTCACCCTCTTAACTGAGAGACAGTCCGGAGGATTATTTAAAGATAGTGAGTAGAATTTAAATATTGTCTAAAACCAAACAAAAAAACAGTGCTAGTTGGCTCATGGTCAGTGAAATCAGCAAAAATAATTTAAAAACCCCTTACTTTATTTTCACGGTCAATTTGCTTATACTTCAGGGTAATGAAGTTCAAGTCTGCCATCTCAGACTCAGTTTGCCGGGCCTCTATCAAACGGCTGATGTATCTGTTTACTCGAGTTCCTGGGGTGTTGTATACAACATTGGTAGAAAAAGAGGAACGATTCCTGAGTTTTTCAGAGGCTGTCCTTAATGCTCTCCTCTGTAGCACAGATGAAGAAAGAAGCACAGATTTTATTAACACGGAAATTTTTCATTGCTGTTCATATTATCTCAAGCTCACAACCAGGATGAGGAATTCATTAAGCAGAGCAACTACAAAAGACAGAGATCTTATCTCCGTGTGATTGCCATCTTTTAAAAACTCCTTAGCTGAAATCCTGATCTCATTAAAATCAATGAGAAAACCCCCACTGCATTCCAGGATTTCAATCCTCTGCAGGAATTCTCTTCACATACTGCCCTGACACTTCTCTGCCACTGAGGAAATAATCAGTTTGATCCCAATCAGTGTGACTTTATCTAGAGAAAGAATTAAAATTTTTTTCTTGATGGAAGACATGGAGCTCTGGACATCTTGAAGACAAGATAATCAGGCTCTTCATGATACAAGAAAAGTCATACTGTCTAGGTAACAATACACATTTTGAAAAGAGAATTTTCCTTAACCTCGTGCACAATGACCATATGTGGCTTCAGAGGGTCTGAAATCTCAAGTGTTCCTATCTTGAACTCACCCAAGTGGCTCTCTTGCTAAGACCTCTTGGTTATGCCTTAAGTGCATTTGCAGATCCAGATGGAGCAGTCCAATAAATTATCAGAACTAACCTGTGCCTCACTGGGATTAATTCTTCCATGGCTGAGATGATCGTTCATAGTCCTTTTCAGTGCAAAAGATTTATCGCAGAGCGTATCTGAAAGGGATTTTAGCCAATCTGTCTCACTTTTCATGGAGCGCACTCAGAAGACGGTGAGCAGCCTCTCAGCCACACTGGTGGTAACCTTCAATTGAGGGCACAGTAATCTAAACCATTATGGCTAGATCTGCACTAGTATGACTGCCCATGCCCCAGGACACTGAAAGGATCAGGGCCTTCACAAAATACTCTCGTAGATGCAGCATTTTTTAAACACAGAGTGAGAAAGATGTAGGCCAATCTTGTAAAAGAAAAAACAGTCACCTAATGGTTAGCACATTGAGGAAGAAGAAAGAGACATCAATTGAATATCCTTTGTACCTCAAAAGGGCTCAAGCCTTACTTCCCAGAAGAGTTTTGACAACCAAATTCAGGCAAGTTGTACTATTTTTATACAGTTAAAGGAATACTTTTTTATCTGCAGAGTTCAGGAATACAATTTGAAACATTATGAAATGACAAGTCTGCTCAGGGGTAAGGACAATGTTGGCTCCGGCTAGAGTCTCAGTAGGGTCTGTCAGCCAGCTGTTACAAAAGCACACAAAATTTCTCTCTTCATAGCAGTCAGTACTTAACAGCCCACTCTTTAAAGGCTATACTACAAAATATCCTTTTAAACCAGATGGTAAAAAGAGGTGGTGATCGCTATTTAAGTAATTCTGCAGCACAAGAAGTAGTTCTCATGAGATCCTCTCGTGAGATCCTCACCAGTGAACAAACAGTGGACTACAGCAGTTCATTAGTTTATATAGCTTATATGTATATTACACCTGAATACTTATGAACAGTGGAAAGGGTTAACTGCTGACTGATACCTTAGTTTTCTGATCGTAAAGAGGAATGGACCTTAGAAAAGATAAAGTAACTTTCCAAGTCCTGTTTTGCTGGCTTTATATGTAGAGAGCAGGTTATACCAGCATTAAACAATTATGAGGCTCCTTGAAACATTCTTCTTCAAACTGTCAGAGCCCATTACTTGTTAAGTTGTCTGTGGTGTAAGAACTAATTGTTTCAACATGAAAAATGATCTTATGGACATACATGGATTAGAGCTTTCAAATCTGATCTTCTGGGTTCTGTTAACCGTAATAGAAATCTTAAATTGCCAGCCAAAAAACTATTCTAAATCTTTCTAAACAGAGATAAAGTTGTTCTCTTGCAGAAGACATTTGTCCCACAAGTTTTTAGAGAAACTGAGTGCTTTCAGGAATATTGTCAGGAATATACAATTTTGAATATCTTCATGAAGATAAACAACAATTAGTTAGCATATCTATTGCTTAAGGTGCAGCAGAAAGTACAACTTTGGGGATCTGTCCTGATTTCAGCTGGGATAGAGT